ACACACCATCATGAAGAACCAGTTTGCAACCGAGGCGCGAAACCAAAGAACACACGCGGCTGCGCAACAGACTATGCTCAGCACGATGAGGTCTTTGGCCTCGCTGGTCAGGTGCCCCGGGAGGGTGAAATTCCCGTGCTTTATCTTCCTGCCGCTGCGAAGGACTCGGAACCGCCCGCTTCTGTCAGCGCCGACATCCGCGTCGCTTCTCTACGGCGCTGCCACAGTGCTGCTGTCGACCACGTCCTCTTGCTCCGTAGGCACCGACCCCGCGTAATCGCAATATCTGTCTTCGTCCTCAGCCTCCTCCCCCCCAACCTGATACGCCTCTCTGCTGCCTGTAGAGGCTCTCAGGGTCCGATTCGTGGAATAGAATATCGTCATCGTCGTTTGCCTCCCCCTCCGTTCTTGACTCGTGTCCGCAGCAGGGTCGCCGACCGACCTGCGCTGCACAACTTCGCAGGCCATGGCACAGGAGCAGGGTGTTGCGGCGACTGCTGCCCTGTCGCAGGCATGCTGTGAGCCGAAGCTGACCATCCCCGTGTAGGAGTCCACGGCGAACGCAATACGAACAGCTTACCGAACTGGCGGCGAAATCGGCGACCGAAGCAGACGGACCGAAAGCAACATGACAGGACGCGGTGGCGCAGCAACCGACCACAACGACCCGACCGAGCGCAGTCGACTGCGACATGCTGCGACGCAGCCGACACGACCGAATCGCGCTCACCTTGGATCCCCATCGCAGAGCACGGCCCGCCCCCACTTCGATGCGCGCCCCAAGCTTGCCCCAAGCGTTCTCTGCCGCCTGCTCTCCCTCTGCAATACCTGGCCGCTCCGACCCGCCACTCCTGATGGGTGACGGGAGCAGTAGACGCCCTAGGAGTTGTGAGGTGGCGACGCCAGGGGGAGAACAACTACAGACAACCGAGAGAGGGAGAGAGAGAGAGAGAGAGAGAGAGAGAGAGAGAGGGAGAGAGAGAGAGAGAGCGACAGGAGCCGAAAGAGAGATATAGAGAGATAAACAGCTATCCAGGGAGAGGGAGGGAGGGGTGGCCACCGAAATGCTGCTATATGCTGTGTCAACCGAAACGTGCTCGGTGTGTCAAAATTGCGGTCCCGCTGCAGCGCGCGCCTCCTGTTAGGATCGGCGCCGTGCTCCCAAATTAAGAGAGGCACTCTCGCCAAGCGCGAGCTGCTGTTCTCGATCCGAGTTCGTCCTCATCGTTGTCTCCCCGCTCCTTTCCCACCCTCCGCCGTTCAGATGGCCCTCCTGCTCCTCGCGCTCCTCCCACTCCTGCTCCTCCTGCTGCTGCTGCTGTTCCTCCTCGTCCTCGTCCTTCCGCACGCTCCTCCTGCTCCTCCTGCTCGTGCTCCAGCTCGCCCTGCTCGCCCCGACACCCTTCGGCGAGCAGGAACAGACAACGCTATGGGAAGGGATGGGCGGGATAAGTATGATGACAGGTATGGCGCGAGCGCACCTGGCGTGCCCTCCTCCTCACCCCCTCTCCTCTCGCTACCTCTCTCTGGTCGGCTATGATGTGTGCCCGCGGATAGAGAAACATCAGCGCAGTGGGAAGAAATGGGCGGCAGGGATCGGGTGCCAGATCTTGCCGCGGCCGCACCTGGCTTGCCTCTCCACCTTTCCTGCATCCTCAGGTATCCTCTCTATCATCATGCCTCCTCACTCCTCCTCCTCCACCTCCTCCTTCTTCTCCTGCTCCTCTTCCGTTTCCTCTTCCTCCCCATCTACGATTAATATGCATGGATACGACCCAACAGCTACACATTATTAATGCTACTCTCCGCTCTCCTCTGACTCGGTCCGGAAAATATTCGGCCCTCTACACTTGTGTTTTAAGTTCTATTGCATCCCAGTCTTTTTGAGTCCTTCAGACAGAATCGGCCTGGTTGAGACCTTCAGAATGGGCCTAGCCTCCTTCTAGGATCGGTGTTTTGCTCCCTTCGTCCAGACTGGCTTTCGCCCCAGTGCGGGCCTCTTTTTTGGATCCGAGCCCTTCCTGATTGTTGTCGGCACCCTCCATTCCCCTCTTCCGCCTTCCTCTGGTCCTCCTGCTCCTCCCGATCCGTCCACTCTGTTCGCGCCGCTGCTGCTGCTGCTGTTTGTCCTCGTTCTCCTGCTGCTCCTCCTCCTCCTCCTCCTCCTCCTCCTCCTCCTCCTCCTCCTTCTCCTCCTCCGCCTTCTCCTCCCCCTCCTTCGCCTTCTCCTCCTCTCTCATCCTGTTCCTTTCCTCCCGCTCATCCTCCTGTTCAGCTGCCACCTCCTCATCCCTCTCTTCCTCCTGCGTGTTCGTTGGGAGTTCTTTCGGAAATCCAGGTCCGCTGCGACACACGCCCGCAGGTAAAGAACCCGGAGCGCCACGGGGTGGGTGGGAGTGGTAGGATGTCAGATTTGCCGCGAAGGTCCCAGCTTGAAATGAATACCACTTTCACGTGCATTTTGACAATCATATCCACCCGATCGCCTGAGATCAAGATG